ATTATTCTCGTCGGCGGATGCATGAGAGGTCATGCGACGTGCAACAAAATCCCATCGCTCAACGCCTGGCGGCCTCCTCCTCCTCCTCCACACACCACCACACAGGAGGAGAAGGGACGAGTTTCTATTCCCCGCCGAGAGCTTAGGGGGGTGCATCATTAGAGACCCTCTGCGGTTAAGCGTCGGGCCGCATCTGGTCGGCAAACTATTGGAATCGGATGGGAGCGAGTGGGCCCGCATCTACATCGAATCTCGGATGCCACCAGCTGCGGGCCCACAGAGCTGCGACAGGGTCTGCGACAGCCCAAGCGTGTTTTAAGACAACGAGGAGGAGGGGGAGGAGGAGGAGGAGGAGGAGGAGGAGGAGGAGGAGGAGGAGGAGGACGAGAAGGAGGAGGACGAGAAGAAATAGAACGCGGAGGACGAGGAGGAGGAGGAGGGTACTGAGGGTACTGATTACGCGGGCGCCACATGACGCCCCTGACCGCACGGCCACGAATTAATCCTCGACGCTTAATTCAGGCTCCTCAGGAGCTCTCTGACGGGACCCCTCCCACCGAACAAGTTCCTCAGGAGAGGAGAACCCATGCAACTTGGCGACGCTGGTGGCGTCAAGGCAAGGAAGGCGTAGCAGTCGGCACGCCTGCTTCGCCTCCCCAAAGGCGCGGGGCATCACGCTCCCCGCCGACGTCTGGGCCTCGACCGTCCCTTCGACACCTACCGCACCGCTGTTCGGAACAGCAGCAGCAGGAGCAGGGGCAGGCTCGAGAAGAGGCCCCCAAACAGCACGCATCTGAAGGGTCGGCCCATGGGCCGCCCCTACACGAGCATTACCTAGGGTGTGCCCTGGAAACAGACCTCGTCGGAGCTTGGACCTCTGGGTCTTGAGCCCTGGATGGCCCGCTCCCTTGCGCTCTCCCTGCAGCCCCCGAGCGTTGGAATGCGCGGAGGCGCCGCAGATTTTACAACACAAAATTGGCGACAGTTCCTGGCCTTGCTCTGATGCGACGCTGGCCTGCACTACACTGCGCCCTCTAAAAACCCAAGGAACACCAGTTGCAGCAACAAAGCCAGCGTCGACACCATGGGGTCTTCCATACCTTCAAGGGAGGAGGGGAGGCTCGGAGCAGAGGAAGGACCAGTCTCAACCCCCTCGGCCAAGGACCAGTCTCCAAACGGTGCTCTACCTTCCTCCAGACCGGCGCGAATTATATCCTGAGGCAGGTCTTCATCTAACACGATGTCCCCCGTCCCAGCGAGCTCAACAGAACCTGGCTGCTCTAGCTCTCCGAAAAATTCCTGACATCTACTCTGCCAGCGAACAATATCCGAGGCGATCCTTTCACACCCCGAGACAAAGCCCAGATGGTCTCGAGGCACATTCCAAAGCTTCGCTCCCGCCTTGGCCCACTTGTCGGCCATAGCGTTGCCCTTGATGAGCCACGCGTCATGATCGGACCTAGCGCCCCTCAAGCTCCTGTGAGCAGCTACCTTGACAATGGAAGCCTTCTTACCTAGATCAGACCACCAGGTCCTCCACATGTGCGCACGCGCATTCGAACTGGCCAAAGCAACACTCGAATCTGTAGCACGCCCGAATGTACCTGCACAATCCGTATGCACAACTAAGGAATCCGCTACAGACCATTCTGCAAACTGAGAGAGCATATAGAAAGCCCAGTACTCTCCGTCGCGCGCGGACTGCGCGGGCGCCTGATGGAACGGCGCAGCGCCGTGCATGGCTCCGACGAGCTCTCCTGCACGATTAACCTGAATTACAGCCCAACCTGCCCGACTCAGTCCCCGAAGATGACCATGGAAAGCCGGACCGTCGACAAACGCACGGCCAGAGAACCTCCAACCAGGAAACACACCCTCAAACCGCACTTGGTTCTCTTCAGGGACTTCCGTCACGGGGAGGCAAAAGGAAGGCGAAGGGAAGGGGCAACGCGCCATCATCTCAGCAGGTTCCCCCCTAGACTACGCACATACGTGGCTGCTTGCATAACACGTGTCGGGCATTCCTCGCGTCGAGGAACAGCACTCCGAGGGCAATCGTAGAATCTATGATGAAGCGTGCCTCGCATGCCACAGTGCACACAACAATCGTTCACCGTCTTGCCGTGCGCGTGCAGGCGCGCCTGGGGCCAGTGCGACCCTCCTACTAGACTCCTGATGGCAGCTGCTCGGTGCGAACTCCAGACTTCAGAATAGTCCTGATCGAGCAGCTTACCGACAGGGCCCCAATGCAACGGGTGGACCAAGGGCGCCTTCAAACGTTTCAAAGCGTTGACGCCAGACGCCTGGAGGGCCAGGGGCCGAACCAAATCCACGAAAGAGCCGAGCGACAAATCCAAGATCCTGAAGTCCCCGAGGCGAGGGTGCCTCATAATTTTTTGTACATCTGGCAGCTGGCACCCAATCCTGGCGAGCGAAAGGACAGCAGCCTAGGCTGGATCTACTACCTGAGCCCATGGCCGATCCTTGTAGAGGAGCGGCTGCGCTTCCTCAAGACAGGCCCGAAGCGGACCAATGCCAGGCATACAGGAATGGACACTCAACGTCCAGTGCTTGACTACATCACAGACATGCACTATCCAGGGGTCCCTGGTGGACCCTCGCTGCGTCGACCTCAAACGGAGCGCAACAGAGGTTCCTGGAGGGACTCTCCCTTCTGCACGGAGCGAAGCAAGTCTCAAGGTGGCGAGCTTAGCGCCAGCCATGCCAGTGACCGACGCCCCCCACATCGCCGTCGCCGTAGGAGACCCCCTCATGATAGTGCTGACACTAGCTCCAGCCTGCCTGAGCGAAAAAAAAAACACGCTTTGATACAGATGACGCCTTGGCCAACCGTTTGTCCTGCCCTTGAGCACTCCTTGACGCGCCGTCAGTGGCGTCCGTACCTAAACACCTGCTGCTACGAAGCTTCTGCTCATGGCCTAGGCTCCAACGCTCGTTTAAATCCGATTCCAGCTCCGCTGAACTGGTCATGTAGCCTGTCTTATCCCGATTAACAACGAGTTGCCTATGCTGAAGGGACTCAACTAATTCAGACATAGATGGATGAAACTGATCTAGCACATTCTGCATGCCTCCAATCGCATGGAGCAGGACGTCGTCTACTAGGTTTTGAAACATCACCATGGGATACTTAGCCTTGAGAGTGACAATCACTGTATGAACTAGAAGCTTGGCCAACGCTAAGGCACAACTGCAGCCTGCCGCCACCGTGCCGTTGGCCCGTGCCTGGTCCGAGATGAAAGACTTCCACCTAGCTCGTCTGGGCAAGCTGCACCCTGCTTGAGGAGCCTGACTGGGGACCCCGTGGCAAGGGCCTCCCTTGAAAGACCTTCATGTGAAATATGCTCGTAATACTTAGACAAATCAAGAAGCCCGCTTGCTGCCGAGAAGCCCTTGATTCTGGCGAAACGCTGAATGATATTGTGCACGTGCCCTGCTCTGTCGCAGGTCAGCCCTGAAACTCCCCAGAAGGAGTCATTATTGAGAGACAATTCCCAATTCCTAGCCGCAGGCTGCCTAAGCCTAGACCAAATACGCCCCCAAGTGGAAACCAACTCTATGGGCCACACTCCCGTGGCTGGCGCGGGTTTGCCCAGGAAAAAAATCAGGAGCGCCCAGAGCTCAAGATCCTCAGGACCCGACTCCCACTTCGTAAGGATGCCCAGGAACGCCTGCTTGTACGAATCAGGCAACCAAAGAACCTGCCTCGGGTGAAGGTGGTCCCACCCCAGCCCGCAGGCCCCCGAGTAGGAAGACAGCGCAGAGCTCGGCTGCGAGATGGTGACCCTAGGCAGCTCAACCCAAGGGCCCAGACCCCCCGAGGTCAGAAACCCCTGGTCGGAAACAGAACCACAAGAAGCCTCCGAGAGCCTCGCGGGACGGGCCCCAGGACTCCAGGATCTCGGCTGGGACTCGCCATCTCTCTTAGGAGCACTCCAGAGCGGCCCCCACTGCTCTAGAAGCCTGTCCACCGCCTTTTGCCCTGAGGCAGGCAACGGCGGCGCTAGCTCCGTGGCCCCCGAAAAAAAATCTGCGTGTCTGGCAAAGGCTCCCGAACATGGGCGCACGCAGCCCTCCCCCCTTGATTCTTGACGGCCTCCTTGGCCCGAGCCCTCCAGGCTTTGGCGCCAGCCGCCCTGGCCTTCGCTTGGAGGTGAGAGAGGTGGCCCCTCACCCCAAGAGGAAGGAGAGAGCCCCCCCCCCGCCCCCCCCCCCCGCCCCCCCCCCCCCCCCCCCCCCCCCCCCCCCCATCAGACAGCAGCCTCACCAGGGCACTCCTGGGCGCGTGCTGCCACCTTCCCAGCGGCCCCTCGGTGGGCCACGGTGGGGTAGCCATTCGAGAGACAGTGCGCTCTTGCCGCTGCTGCGCAGCAAGATGAGAATATTTCTTGGCGCGGGACTCAGAACCTATGGCATGCAGCCTCATGCAAGCCGAGTAGAATGATGTCCACTTCCTGCCATCGACCGTGGTGTTCTGGCGCAGCTCGCTCTTCCAGGCTTGGTCAAGCTCCACATGCTGAGCTCGGAGCCCGTCTGATCTGCCAGTGTGTGATTGCCCGCGCCATCCTTGGATATCGTGAAAAATCCAAAAGGTAGGCTTCAACATGTCGAAACCATACTTGACAGGCTTGCTGAAGGCCAGGTGGGTACTCCGATCCAATCTGCCACGGCCACTGATCCTCTCGAGCTTCAGGAGGTGCTCTGCGTACAGGAGGTGGCTTCTCGATGGGAAACTTCCAGGGTACCAGCATCCGGGGAACCTTGGCCTGCACTCCTACGCCGCTGAGCTTCAAGGCCACTGGCATGTGAGACTTTGCTAGAGCATCAGGAACAAGATAAACCGCTTCCACAAAAGGCGCCATAACTCTGCTGCAGATGAAGAAGTCCAGCTCCCTCGCTCCGAAGGTAGGCTCTCGTGAGGAAATGATTTCTCCTTGCACAAGTTCGGCCCACTTATCCACATCGCTCGGCAACAGGTTTCACTCCGCTGCCACTATCCACGGAAACTGTAACTTGCCAACTGCTTGCAACAACTTACCAAGGAGCTCGATGTTCACCCCTGCGAGCCCGACGCTGGTGTGAAGGTACACTGATACTACCGCCAAGGGAGTAGAAATACCAACATTGACCATGGCTGCCGCAATCCTGGAAGACGGCAGCTCCTTTCCACAACTCAAGTCCAACTTGTCTGCTGGCAACTGACTAAGCACAGCGCGTCCTGCACTGGACTCCGTAGGGCCTGGCCCTGTGATATCTGCTTCTGGCATAGAGGATTGAAATCCACGGTGCTGTGCCCACTTGACGGCACTCTGGTGCCTGAACGATTCCTTGAGACGATGCTCCTGGAGACAGAGAACGTCAGGGAGGCCTGGTCCACCTTCATGATCATGTTTCGCCCATTCCAACATGGCCTGCGCAGCTGCCCACGTGCTGGGATTGAGCGCCCAAAGAACAATACTGGATGTACTGGGTGGGCTGCTACCCCACTCTCTGTCTCTTAGCGTGCCCTGCAATGTCTGCCAGGAACCTGCGAAGGGCTTCTGGATCATCAGCGGCATCGAACCCAGCTCGCTTGAGCTTGGCCCTGAGCTCATTGTCGTCTGGGTCAAGGACGATGATGTCTGGATCTGACCCACCTGCGCCGCCAGGAGAAGGATCAGCCCCAGTAGCAGGCTGAGGTGCAGAAGGCTCTTCAGCCTTCGGCAACTTCGATGTGAACTCTGCCTTCTTCGCCTCCGTGGCCGCGAGGACCGCAGTGGCATCGATGGCGAAGCGAGAAGTGTATTTCTTGACAGCCAGCTCCAGGACGTCCAGCATCTGGAGCTCGTGCTTCGGATCAGACTCGCCATCTTGCTCTGGAGGCTCGGGCAAGACGGTGGCGGACTGGGCTTTCTTGATGAACTTTTCGATATCCGAGAGGTTGTCTTGGTGCGCCTTGAGCTGCTGGCACTCCTGCTCAAAGTAGCGCTGGGCCTCCTCGAGTGCGGCCTTGGCATTCTGCACTCTCTCAGTGGACCCTTCGATCTGCTTGAGCTTCCGCGACTGCCTCTGGAGCAGGTCCTGGAGCCCCTTGGAGCCAAGGTCTGCAGGCCCTGGCCCCTCTGCTTCCTTGAGCACTTCAGTGAGCATGGTGTCAAGTTCCGAGCCCGCTTGAAGCCCTCGTGACTTGAGCAGCTTGATGATACCCTCATTTGACAACTCCGTGGCGTTGGCATTGGCTCGCCCGCCAGCCCTTGAGCCGCCTTGGCTCTGGAGGACAGGAGGACCGTTGAGCCAGGCATTGGCCCGCTGCGCCTTGCCGTTCCCGCCCGAAGTGTTCTGCTGCCGCTGCTCTCGTTGCTGATTGATGACGTGTTGCGGCGCCTTCGACCCACACTCCCGACAGGCAGACCTGAAGAGAAAGTTGGCAAAAGGCACATGTGGGGTCGAGACACTGCCAGGTCTTGCTCTGGCCCTGCCCCGACGCGCCATGGCGTGACATGTAGAATCTCTGACTTTGGCTCGAGTCGGCTGCGCCACTTCCAAGTGCGCCGACCCGAAGGTTCCCAAGCTTGAAACCTGGAAATGGCTAGGAGGAGGAGGAGGAGGAGGAGGAGGAGGACGAGGAGGAGGAGAAGGAGGAGGAGGAGGAGGAGGAGAAGGAGGGCGAGGAATAGACGCCGTGAAGGGGCTCGAAGTGGACCCCGCCGATCGATCCTCGCCCTCAGCGGGCGCTCCCCGGCCTTGGCGAGGGTGGCGCAGCCCTCGCTGATGTCCCCTGTCCGGACCGCGGCCCGCTGGTCGTTCACGACCCGGCCGAGGTAGAAGACCTGACTATCTACCAGACCACTCCAACCCAACCCGAAGACCCGAATTTCGGGTTGGGGGGGGGGGATGGGTTCCATACGTGTTTTTTCGATGTTCCCCAACCCCACCCCCCTGGAAATGGAGGGCAAATTGAGGCCTTCGGGTTGGGTTGGGGTGGTTTGGTAGGTGGTGAAGACCTGCGCAAGGGTCGGGAAGACGTAAGACTCGGGTACGGGGGACTCGGGTTGGCCTGACAGGGCCGTCGCAAAACTGACGCGACCCAATCTGAAATTTGACGCGAACTCCCGCTGCAGACCTCCCACAAGAAACCGGACCGTCAGAATGCAGGAAGAGCTCGTCAAAGAGCGTCGGCAAACCCGAGTTCCGGCTTACTCGAGTCTTACGCTTCCCCGAAAGGGGGGCGGGGACCCAATTCGGAAGCCGGGCAAGGGCTGCCAAATCCGTGGCTGCTAAAATCGACCTCCCGGAAGCTGCCTTCGCCCTTCCGGGAAGAAACCCGTTGACTGTTTCGCGTGCCGCGCCTCCTTCCCGGAAGTTGTTTTTTCGCTCCGGGAGGGCCGTCTTAGCAGCCACGGTTTAAGCAGCCCTCGCCCAGCTTTCGACTAGTGTTGGCGGTGCGCACAAGGGAGTGGAGGGAAAGGGGAGGGCTTCACAGAAGGAGGCTGCTTCTTAGGAGGCGCTGGCCTCACATCTATAGATGAGGCCCGCGCCTTCTGAGAATCAAGGGTACTTCCAAGACACCCTCCCCCCTCCCCCCACCCCCCTCTGCGCATGGCTGATAGGTGGCCCTGGAAACGACAAGGCCGTTTTTTCACCGGTTCCGTTTTGCTGTCTTTTTACAGGTTCCGACGCCGTTTTTGATACCGGTTCCGTCGCCGTTGTCTTACAGGTTCGGGCTCCAGTTCCAATCCTGGAGCATTTTTTTTGCCGCTTCTGGTCGCCATGTTTTTGCGCCTTCCATATCCAAAAGACACATTATCGGAAACGGTGAAAAACGGCCCTACCGTTTCCGGGGCCCACTAAGGGCAGGGACGATCGTAAAAGATAGCAACAGCCACATTGATACAGACCCTCAGGCGTCTACACTCCCTGAGATCCTGGCGCTGCAACTTTTTCACAACGGGCGTGTTCGCCCGGTTTCGGGCCCCAGGACCCTCACAGACCGATCCGGCTCGACCAATAACGCAGTAAGATGGGGTCTGGGGCTCTGGTCGTGATTTTCCACGAGGTTGCAAGTTTTTTGGCAGCGATGGCTGTTAGGGCTCTTGCAACCGTCGCAGAAAACCAGCGGCAGAGAGCGGCAGTCGGGAAGAGGGGGACGAGAGGGCTGGGGGGGGCGGGCGCATCAAGGCTGCGGCCCGCGGCGGCAGCGGCAACCTCGGAAGTCGGCGCGACATCGCTCCTGGGGAGCCCTCTGGCCAGGAGCTCGAGGGCGAGTCCAGCCGAGGCGACGGGGGCCCGGTGCAGCGCGGCGCAAGGCTGCACGAACACCGACTTTCAATCGGGGGCGCGCAAACATGGATCAGCGATCCATGGACTTCGCGCGCGGTCGCCACATCCATGGATCGGGCGAGGCGCCCTCCGCAAAATGCGGCCGGTGCCGCCTCGCTCGGCGGGGGCCATCCGCGATTTCCCGTGGAAGCGGGACCCGTCGCTGATCCACGCCCCCTTGATCCATGTTTGCGAGGTTGAGGAGGAGGAGGAGGAGGAGGAGGAGGAGGAGGAGGAGGAGGAGAAGGGGGAGGGGGAGGAGGAGAAGGGGGAGGAGAAGGAGGAGGAGGAGGAGCAGGAGGAGGAGGAGGAGGAGGCGGAGGAGGAGGAGGCGGATGAGGAGGAGGAGGAGGACGAGGAGGAGGACGAGGAGGAGGAGGGGGAGGCTGCAGGAGCATCGGCTCTGAGGGGTCCGTGCGCACCTGCCGGCTCGGGCCTGGGCCCCCCCCGCCCGGCGGCGCCCCTGGCGCGCGCGCCGACCCCGGCGCGCGCTGCGCGCGCCGACCCCCACGGGGGAACACCGCGCGGGCCTCGGGAGGCGCACGGCCGACTGCCCGACCAGACCGCCCCAACCCAGCCCGAAGACCGGCAGCCAACTCAAGGGGGAGGGAGGGGAGGAGGAGGAGGAGGAGGAGGAGGAGGAGGAGGAGGAGGAGGAGGAACCCAGCCGACTGCCTAACCCCCCCCCCCACCAAACCACCACTGCCAGCCCAACTGACCCAAGCCACTGGCAGCCCTCCGGTGAGGCCGCCTCCAGATGTGGGGGCCGCACTGGGTGGCTACCAGTGGGGCATCCAGATGCGTTGTTTCGGTGGGCTATACCAGTGGGGCCTCTGGATGGCTACCAGTGCTGGGGCCTCCAGATGTGTGGCCTCCAGATTCGGGTTGGGGGGGGGCCTCCAGATGTGTTGTTTCGGTGTGCGCGGACCCCCCCCCAACACTGGAAATGGAGGACAAACTGAGGCCATTCGGGCTGGGTCGTGGTGGCTTGGTGGGTGGTGCACAGCGTACGGTGGAGTCACGGCCAGAAGAACGAGGGCCAAGAACAAGAACACGAGCTCCTTCGCAGACGGCCCCAGCTGCTCAGAACGGAGCCAAGAGACCCCCCAGGGACCCCGAGGGGCTCCCCAGTGGCACCCGAGACGTTCCGAAAGGCCCTCAAGAACCCCCAAGACCGCCAAGAACCCTCGAAAGCGCACTTGGAGGACCCAAAAAAGAAGCTTTCAAGGGATATTCGAAAGACTTTGAGAGGCATACAATGACAGCTTCCATGGCCTTTCTTCCTCTGCGTGCTCCTCCACATCCCTGATCAGGGCAACTCGCCTGGGCATCGTTTCTGGATGGGCTGGTGGGGTTATGCGGAGCGTTTAGAATTAGGGATGGTATCGACGAGGACGAGCGTCGCCTGGTGGAGCACAGCTCCCCCTGGCAAGGCATTCGTGGGCGGTGTTCGGCATGCGTGGCCACGGTCCAACGGCTGAACATCACCCTCCGACGTCCCCAGTGGCCGCACCCGTTAATCGGCCCCCCCATTGCTATCATCTTCTCTCCCTGGACGACGGGGGCGGACTTTGATCGGAGGGTGGAAGCATGCCAGTTGCAACGGGCGGCAGACAAATTGGAGTTCCACGATACCGCTGCAATCAAAGACAAAGATGACCATAACGTTGGTCAAGAGCGTGAGCCCCTCCACGGATCGTGGAGCCACCCCACACCGAAACACAGCCGGAGGCGGGGAGAGAGAGCCCGCACGCGGGGATCGCCAGGGCACGCTTCCAGAAGCTGGGGTCGTCCCCAACCCTCGCGCCAGCAGTGGTGGGTGCATGCTGAGCCTGACTACCTACCAGACCACCCCAACCCAACCCGAAGACCCGAATTTCGGGTTGGGGGGGTAAGGGTTCCACACGTGTTTTTTCGATGTTTCCCGACACCCCCCCTACTGGAAATCGAGGGTAAATCTGAGCCTTCGGGTTGGGTTGGGGTGGTTTGGTGGGTGGTGAGAGCCCCCCCCCCAAAATCACCTCCGCAAGAGCCGCGCCGCCAAAGGTGAAAAGGTGGGCCGGTGGCCGCCCGCGGCGCTCCCAGCCCAGAGCCCGGACGGGCCGGCCACGAGCGGCGCGGGGCGGCGGTGCCGAAGCCGACCGCGTGCAGCAAGCTCCACAATCCCCTCTCCCTCCCCTTTGGACGCCCGAAGTGGGTACGGAAAACATGGGTACAATGCCCAACAACTATTGTCCAAAACCGACAGCGGCCGCTGTTGGGCAGGCGGCTTTCTGTCTTCAGAGAATCACGTCCGCGGCGGCGCGAACAGCGAGTCCTGTTCAAAATGAACAGGAATTGCTGTTGGGTATCGTGTCCACTCTTTCTGTACCCATGTCGGTCGTCCCGATCCCCATTTCGGGTTCTCGGATTACGGCAAGTTCGCGTCGTCTCGACCTTGGCGTTGGTTCCTGACAACGCGGGGAAAATTGAAACTTGAACGATCGGCCGTTCCTTGAACGCCGGATAGCTCAACGACGGGCCGATTCTGGGCCACGGGCGGTGTTCAACTCTACACGCACGCGGTGGGGTCGCCGACAATCGGCACGACGCGAACCTGCCGTACGGGGACTCGAATTGGCCCGACGGGGCCATCATGAAAAAGACGCGACCCAATCTGAAATTTGACGAGAACTCCCGCTGCAGACCTCCCACAAGAAACCGGACCGTCAGAATGCAGGACGAGCTCGTCAAAGAGCGTCGGCAAACCCGAGTTCTGGCTTACTCGAGTCTTGCGTTTCCCCGGCTTTCGTCCGCCCCGAGAGATTCGAGGCCTCCCACATGGGGTCGGAGTACATGGGGTCCGAGAATCGACGATGCATCGGCGACGTCGGCTTGGAGGATCGGCGGGAAACGTTCGCCAAATCTTTCAATATCCGCTAGGACCCCTTCAGTGCAAGCACTGACTGGGGAAAATCACGCCCTGGAGCGACGACACGGCCATCTGGGACCACATCAAGTCGCTCGAGGAGCAGGTTTTCAATGCTAAAGGTGTCCAGCAAGCTGCAACATGACAAGCAATCGATTATGCCAGTGCGAGCCTACCCAGGAGTTGGAGCCTCTAGGAAAGCAACATTTGCAGTAGTAGTGGATGCTGTGCTGCGCTATGCTATGCTATGCTATGCTATGCTCTGCTCTGCTCTGCTCTGCTCTGCTCTGCTGCGCAATGCTATGCTGGGCTAGGCTAGGCTAGGCTATGCTATGCTATGCTGCGCTATGCTGTGTTATGATATGCTATGCTATGCTATGCTGCACTTTGCTATGTTATGATATGATATGCTATGTTATGCTATGCTAAGATATGCGATGCCATACTGCGCTGTGCTATGCTAAGCTATGCTAAGCTATGCTACGCTATGCTATGCTAAGCTGCGCTATGCTATGCTATGCTATGTTATGCCCTGCCCTGCTATGCTATGCTATGCTATGCTATGCTATGCTGCGCTATTATGTGCTGTGCTGTGCTGTGCTATGCTATGCTATGCTGCGCTATACTATGCTATGCTATGCTGGGCTATGCTATGATATGCTGTGCTGCGCTATGCTATGCTACGCTATGCTATGCTGTGCTCTGCTTTGCCAAAACTCAGCGAAGCTAAGATGACGGTAAGCTAAGCTAGGATACACCTGAGCTAAGATGAAGCTAAGCTAAGCTACGCTAAGATGAAGTAATCTAAGCTATGATGAGAAAAGCAACGCTAAGCTAAGGGGACGTAACTGGGGGAACCGCGGGGCGGATGCCGGGGGAACCGCCCGGGGCGAGGAGCACTGCTCGGCCCTTTAAGCTTACAAAGTAAGAACCCTTCTAGGCAGATCCTAGGTAGGGAAACACCACAGGCGAAGCTAAGCGGGATCTTACAGCAGTGGTAGGAAAGATGGTTGAATTCGATTCTGTGTCAGCAACAACTTCGTGGGTCAATACTACGCTTTCTTCGTGGTCTGCTCCTACGGCGTCCTACGGCTGCTGACGTATACTCCAAGGGCGACTTCAAAGACATTATCTTCGTGTTATTCGCGAGTGAGCCCGATCGAGACCTGGCGGTTGGCCTTTTACGGAGTGCGAGTCCCAAGCACGGAGGGACAACCATTTGGATAGCTCCTGATGAGCCGCCGCCTTTCCGCGCGGCTCGGAACGTGTGTTTGGGGCTGAAGTACTTTTATCAAGACGACTTGAACAACAAGTACAAGATACAGGTCACCACGGACGATGTTCCCTTTCAAGCTGTAGTAGGGGGAGATATTGCAGTCTCAATTTCTGTACATGAATCTCAGATTGTCTTGGAATGGGGCCCTGAGTGGAAACCATGGGAGCAGTTACAGAAGCATCCGAAGCTCATCGAGCTTTTGAATAAAAATACGGCACTTCTGGCGCGAGCCACCGAGGGTATGAAAAGCTTGGCAAAAGGCAAGTCAAGAGGCAAGTAGGAAATACGGCCAGATTCCAGTGACTCTGGAGCCGGCCAACAAGACCGTCATGTACATACGCACGCCGCCATGGTGAGCAAACATATCACCAACGCCAATAGGATTTGGGGCAACGCTACCGAGCACAACGGCCCGCGGTCGTTTCACCATCCTTGCCACAATCCTCGGAGCTATCTTCTGGGATACTTCCACAACCACGTCTACCTCAATCCGGCCATCCGCGCGGACAAAGCGAGGGAGGGCGATATCTTCGATCCTGTCATGAGCAGTGGTCTTGGGGAAGACCCCGTTCTGTGTGTATTCCTCGATGTCCTGGCCATCTCGGCAGTTGGAATGTTGAAGGCTTGCGGCGTGATTCCAACATTAAGATCGACGAGTTGACCAACATTATAGGCTCACACAGCATTGATATATGATGTACTCAAGAGACACATCTCCATGGTGCTGAATATTTCGCACAAAATGGGCACATGGTGTTTCTGTCAGGCGAGCTGGATTCAAATGTGCGAACATACGCAGTCGTGGGCTTCTTGGTTGCTCCGAAGATGCTGGGAAGCATTGTGGCTTTCAAGGCGTGTACCTCGAGGATCGCTGCTATACGTATCAAAATCAAGGGTGGCATTCTCACCACACTTAGCGTGTATGCCCCACACAACGGCCACCCTTATGAGATATGCTGTACCTTCTACGCTGACCTCCAAGTCCATGTACGGAAGACCACGGCACACAGCACGACCTACATTCTCGGCGACCTCAACGCAAGGTTATTACGAGTATGAGCTAGGGAGCAGCACATAATTGGCCCGCATGTGTTTGGACATCATCGTGTTGCTAGCGGGCATGCCCAAACAGATCAGATCCCAGATGCGCTCTCCAATCGACAGCTGCTGATGGAAGCCTGTTTTGTCGTGCGAGCAGGCGATGGCCAACACGCTCTTCGACCACCCCGCGGACCAATAGGTAGCCTACAGAGAGCTTTGCACCGATCCGATGGACAGCGACATCACCGGGAAGACATTTGCTCAAATCGACCATGCGTTGTGCCACCGGACTGTCCAGCACACGCTCAACGATACAAGGACTAGCCGTGAAGTTGCTCTTGATAGCCATCATGTCCTGGCATTGGTAGAATCGCAGTTGGAATGGAACGTGAAGGACCCGCCGCAGAAGACAGTCATAGACATGGCTAGCTGGACTCAGTATGGTTTCGAAAAGGCCGCCGAGGTACTACCAAAGCGGGCCGTCGTAGCCAGACAGCCTTGGACAAGTCAACACACACTCAATTTTATCGAGCAACGCAAACTCGCTCGCTCACACAATGATCACGCAAGAGAAAAGAAGCTGCACGCGATGATCTGGAAGGCAGGTGCGAAAGATGAGAAATAATGGCTTGAACTGCTTGTACAAGATCGGGGATGGGAAGCGGTGCGACATCTAAGAAGTCCGAAGACGGTGCAGCATGCCACACTCAAGCGCCCTGATGGGACCCTCGCAGACATGGCTGAGCGCGCGAACGTCCTCGCCGACTATTTCGAACATGTGCTGTGGTAAACCCGCTTCCTGGATGAGGAACTGGAGCCGCGTGCACCAATTGGCGACGTGCTGTCGGTCAACACGGGCACGTTCAGCATGAATGAAATCTCTTCTGTTTTACGGAGGCTTCGAAATGGGAAATCTGCAGGTCCTGACGGTATACCACCTGATTGTTGAAATGTGTAGACTCTGATCCGGCTGCCCGCGCACTGCTTCTTCGCTTGTGTCAGAAATGTTGGGAGCAGAAATCAATAGCTTCATCTTGGAGGCGGGCGAATGTCATTGTTCAAGAAACGAGACATCGCATTGTCGGAAAATCATGGACCAATGCCTCTATTACAAGTGGGGTACAAAATATTGGCTTATATGCTCCATCGCAGGTTGTTATCCGGCGGTGCTGAAACCCGCATGCGCGACTCTCAATTTGGTTTTCGCCCAGGGCGTGGGACTGCAGATGCACTCATGATTGTTAGACGCATGATTGACGCCTCGCTCGCGAATAACAACGATGGTCTGCTTCTTGCTAGCAACACGACGCGGCCTGGACAACCCCTTGGACAACCCCGCAAGGATCCGGACAACCCCCCCCAGCCCCCTTGGACAAGCCACTCCAGGCGGTGGCGATGGAGATGGGAAGGAAAAGAAGTGGGTGCAAGAGACGGAGGGGAGAGGAGGAAAGGACCCGCAGCGAGTCCATGTCCTCTAACCTCGGCATTTTGGCCTCCCCCAGGAGGAACTCCAGGTCGTCTTCCTGAAGCCGCCGCCAACTCCTCCGTCTTCCCGCCGCCCTTGCGACTCCATCTGTTCATTGCCCGGATCGGCTTTTTCGTCTCCCGTACCCCTGCCCCGTTTCCCTTTCCGCCTGAATTCCCCAACCCCGAACCCACCCCTTAAGTAGTTTGAGTTTTTTATCCTCGGCCTCGACGGTTTTCAAATAGAGGCGGAGGGCGCGGAGGCCGAACTTCATTATCACGGGGAAAGTTCGCCATCGACGTTACTTCCTTCTTATGTTGATTTAACAACATAAGAAGGACGTTTTGAACTCTCTCTCTCTCTTTCTTAGTTTCTGTTTCTGTTTTCTCTCTCTCTCTCTCTTGTTCTCTCTCTCTCTCTCTTTTTTTCTCTCTCTCTCTCTCTCTTCTCCTCCTCCCCCTGGCGCCCTGAACTTGTTTATCGCTGGGGTTGATTAATCCTGGATAACTAAGCACATGAGCTCCCCTACACGAGCAGATGAAAATTTAAATTTTCATCAAGCGTTTACAAATTAAATCTAATAAGTTTTGAACTTTGGAGTTTCGCTTCCTCCTTCTCCTCTCCTCTCTCCTCCGCCTCCTCCTCCTGCTCTTCTTTTCTTTCTTTCTCTATCTCTTTTTTATTTCTCCTTCTTCTCGCCCCCTGGCGCCCTGAACTGAGACAAACCATTGTTGAGGATGTCTCAACCGAGACAAATCATTGTTGAGGATGTATCATACAGGACCAAAGACCAAGGATCCTCAAGATATCTTTGGCTGTTTCCTCTTGATATCTCTTTATGCTGGCTCTGGCGGGCAACTTTTATTATCTCCCCGAAAACCCCGAACTTTATTATCTCTGGGGGTTTATTCTCGTGGGTTCATGGTCAGCCACCCGGTCCCCCCCCGCTTCCAGTGTCCGGCTCGGTTTCCGACTCCCTTCCCCTGCCCACGTCTCCTCTCCGCTTCCCTGCCCCTGCCCCTGCCTCCCCCCCGCTCCCCTCCCCCCCTTTGCAGCAGCTGGCTAATTAGGCTTCCGCTCCCCATCACCCTGCCGCATCTTCCCTTTCACTCTCAAAGTTCGGGGGCGCACTTCCTGGGTCAGCGGTCAGCGCGAACCCGGAGCAGTCAGGCTGGCAAGAGCCTGCAATTCCCGCAGGATCCTGGAGGACCCTGCACGCTGGCCCCCTGTCAGTGGACCATTGGTCGGCAGGATCCCGCAGGCTCTGGCGCTCTGGCTGACCACCGTTTGCAGTGACCCCCCGTCTCTTGAGCCCCAAAGAGTCCTCCCCCCCCGTCCGGTCCCTCCCCGAGGGCTCCCTCCCGCTCTCATCCCTCCCTTCTCGAAGCCTGGCTCGGTTTCCGCTCCCTATTACCCTGTCGCATCCGCCCTTTCGAATCTCAGATTCCTTTCCCCCCCCCCCCCCGTCCGGTCCCTTCCCCAGACTCCCTCCCGAGCCCTGCCCCGGCAGAACTCGGGGGGAACGAAAGGGTAGGGTAGAGAATCAGCTCACATAGCTGCTTTTTTCCCAGCGCCTCCCGGCGAGGCCCGGCGGCGAGGCCGAAACCAGCTGCATGCAGCAGATCTCGTACCCCCCCCTTTCCCTGTCCCCCCCTTCCTTTGGAGTCCCGAAACGGTGCGGTGACAGACCGTGCGGTGACCTCGGAACCCCAAGAGACCTCGCCGCACGGTCCGTCACTGCACGGTTCTGGGACCCCGGAGGCCCCTGTCGCCCGAGACGTCCTCGGAGAACGAGCCGAGTCCCAAAACCGCGCGGTGAGCCCGAATCCCCACCGACTCGCCGCACGGTGTGGTCACCACCCCGTGGGGGCCCCCGACTCTCGCTCGGCCCGAAGTGCGGGGGCCGGGGACGGAGGAGAGAGGAGAGGGCATCGCGCGGAGGCGCACAGGCAGCCAGGGGCAGCGTGGCCCGCCGACCCCCCAGGCAGAGCACGGCCGAAGAGCCGCGGTCTGCCAACTCCCCGGTCTGCTCACTCCCCCTCCTTCCTCTCCCCCCTTTCCCCTCCCTCTCCCCCCCTCCCCCCCTCCTTCCTCCCCCCTCCCCTCCCCCTCTCCCCCCCCACCCCCTCATTCCTCCCTCTCCCCCCCTCCCCCTCCTTCCTCCCCTCCCTCCTGCGTGCCGTCGTGCTGGTGTAATTCATCCCGCCGCCCACCATTGAAATGCGCAGTGGCTGCGTTCCGGTGCGCTTGCATTCAGCGCGGAATGGTATTCGCTTGGCTTTTCCATGGCCTTTGCAATGTGTCATGTTCTGCCGATGCGCCGTCTAGACAAAGCCTTTTCCTGTCCTCTCCTGTCTCGTCGTTTTCGGCTGGAACTACCTGGATCCAAATATGTCAAGTTCTGCCATATATTGCTGTCTCTCGTTCGTTATGTCTTTCTTTATGTTTGGTTATACATCTCTCTTCTCATACATGTGTATGCATACATAGTTCTGTATATATGCAAATGTGTATGTATGGTCGCGGCCCGGCCACCACAGCAGGCCATCCAGCAAAACCGTTCAGAACTAGAAGCAACGTGGGCCTCCCGAGTTCCCCTGACCTCCTACGCTGAAAAACTTGCACGACGCGGGCCCCTGGAGTTCTCGACCCCATCCCCGGGACAAGCTTCCCGCCGCGGGTGTTCTCGGCGCTTCCAGGGTCCCGAAACGACGCCCAGAGGACAGGATGGGACAGAACAAACAATACGCCCGTTGTGATTTCCTCGCGATTTCTCGAATTCTGCCCCATCCACTCAGAATTCTACACGATACCTCTCCTGGGAAGCCTTCTTTCAAGGACTTCGGGGTGAATCCAGACGAGGCGACGAGGCGACCAATGGAGCGCAACACACAAATATGGTAACATAAAGCTGCACGTTGGCCAGCGAGGACGCCGAACGGTGCGTTGTTGTACTTTTGAGTGCAGCGTGAACGATGAGGTGTGCGCAATACTGTGATCCTGTGTATATATATATATATGGAATGCGCCATATTGAATGACGTACGTGGTGTGAGAAATGTGGTGTGAGCTCTGCGGTGGAAGCTATGTCGCATAGCTTACATGACGTAGCCTACGTGGCTCGAGCTATGTAGTGGAAGCTGCTCGGTGTGCTAGACTGTGCAAACTATGCGGTGTAAGTTATGTGGTGTGCGCTATGTTGTGTAAGCTATGTGGTGGTATTAGCTATGTGGTGAGAGCTATGTAGCGGAAGCTGTGTCGCGCCCGTGACGCGCACACGAGAAAGCACTGGCGCCGACGCGGCAAAACTTTTGGCAACCAACCCAAAACACGGAGCGCCCAGGAGATGCCCACAAACTGGCACGGGCGCCAACGTGACAAAAACGATAGGGAACCCGCCCAGCACACGGGGCGCCCACGAGGCGCCCACAAGCGGGCACCAGCGCCAACGTGGCGAAATTTCGGGTTCACCACCCAGCACACGGGGCGCCCACGAACGGGCATGGGCGCCAACACGGCACAACCTCGGGAAACCACCCAACGCACGGGGCGCCCACGAGCGGGCACGCGCTGAACGTTGCGAACACGGATCGAAACCACCGAATGACTGACGCAACCGAAGCGGGAGCCCCTGAGTGCAAGCACTATTTGGGGTGGACCTGGATTTCCGGAGGTCTTGGCGGATGTCGCGGGTCGGCGCGGGACCCAACTCCTTTAGCTGGACCTCCGACAACGTACGTGTATTCCGTCTTTGCTTTGCGGGCAAGGGATTGGCGGACGAACTGCGATAAACACACATCTGCAACATCGGAAGACGACTGTCCAAAGTGGCCGGGCAGCTCATGATACTGTGGGGCTGCGTCGGGGATTACACGTTCCAGACGGACTCGGACACGCGCCCCCTAGGCCATTCGGGGCGTTGACCTAAAGAACCCAAAAATAAGGAACGAGGCCCCTTTGTCGTTCCTCAAGTTAAGCTTCGATGTCCCATCGAAGACCCCAACAAAACCTGAGGCAACCTGTGAAACATTCAAGGATTGAGCAGGGACCGACCGTTCTGGCATTCCTATAGTCCTACCACGAGATGTTATTAGAAACCCCAAACTGTTCTTATGACAAAACCAGTATTCTTAGAACACAAGCTCTATGTGCCAAAACAAGACAATCCCAGCCAGAACTGTTCTCAGAACATTTCTTAGAAACCGCAACGGGCTCTTAGAACATTGCCTGGTAGGGCTATAGGCGAGCCTGGACGCTTCGCCACTGCTTGAAAGGAACGCCGAGCCCCTCCCCAACGGAAAGGGTTCCTTCTTCAGCGCCCGGACTCGGGCTTCGAGCAGCGCGCCCCGCCATGCGCCCCGCGCGAGTTACCTTCGCGCCCTTGCGCCGCCCCTCTTGGAGCCGCTCTGGGCAGGACAGCCGCCCTGGCGCTGAGACGATCCCCCTCTGGGCCGCACTGGGCCGCCCCCGGCGCGAAGATAATAGCGCCCCCGTGGGCGACCTTCGGCGGTGGACAAACCTCCCTTTAGTAAACCTCCCTATCGTGAAAACGGCGTAGGACCGACACCGTCGGAACTGGACCCGCGGGAGCGGCCGCGGCGGAGGGAGCAGGAAGAGAAGCAGGCCGTCGAGTCGACGGGCGAGGGGCGCGCAGGCGGTCTCGGGCACGGACGCTGGTGATTGACCTGCTTTTTCCACCACCACCAGCAGAAGTTGGAGGGGGAAGGGGTCCTCCTCCTCCTCCTCCTCCTCCTCCTTCTCCCCCTCCTCCTCCTCCTCCTCCTCCTCCTCCTCCTCCTCCTCCTCCTCCTCCTCCTCCCCCCCTCCAGCTTCTGGTGGTGGTGGTGTATAACAGGCCCATCGTGGTGTGCAACAAGTGGCCCGATGGCCAAACAGTCGATATATTAGAGTGGGACCTGGGGAAGAAGCGCATCCTTCAGACCCTCCGCCGCCCGCCTAAGCACACAGAACATCCCAGGGCACCCTCCTGCACAAGAACATCCAACCACCGCGAAGAACATCAAGGTCTCCTCCCCGAAGCGACCACGATCTTACACCTCGGTCCGACTGTACACCTTCCGTCGCCCGCTGAAAAGAGAGGCGCAAAAAGCGGAGGCGTCAGACACGGTCGAACGGGGGCAACCCGCCCTTCCCGCGGGGGGGCCAGTCCTCGGCGAGGGACCAGAGCGGGTAGCCGGTCTTGAAGCAGCGCTCGGCGCTGTGGTCGGCCTTTTTTGGTGGCGAGCCCCGGCAGGGGGAAGAGAAAGGGGGCAGGCCTTCTCAGAAGGCGGCTGGGCTTCGCAGAGACCCTCTGGCTTTCTGGGAAAATATTCTGCGTCCTCGCAGAAGGCTCAGAACACTTCTCAAAGGCCCGAGGCCTTCCGAGGCCTTCCGAGCCTTCCGGGAAGGCCCGCCCCCCTCGGACTCCCCCCTGACCTCGCCGCCGACTCTTGCACCAGGTACGATGGAAGCATGGCCACGAGAAAGCGGGTCAAAAGCATGAACCCCTTCGCCGAAAGACCAGAGATCCATGCAATTGCCCAGGACGAAGGGCATGCCAGGGAGGAAACCCAGACGCGACAAACGGGAGGGTGCGCCTCCAAAGAGGAGGCTGTTCTGGACCCTTGAAGGCAGAAGAGGGTAATGTCACGATCCCGTGTGAGGATGCGCGGTAAGGATGCAAAGTCTTTGGAGGGCCATAGTAACGTCCTTTTACAGGAGGTTGGCTTGCGAAAGTCGCTAAGGATGGACAGAAGGGGCAAGGATGCAAGGGTAAGCTTGGAACGTTGCTCATCCTTACTACGCAGGTTGACTGTACAGTGGGGGCCAGTCCACAAGAGACCTTCCACAAAAAAAAGCCCAACCCTGAGACCCCAGGACGTCCATTGATGTTTGGCGTGGGCACGTCACGACGTCCATAACACAACCATCGACACCCTAGAAACCCAGGGCACCCTGGAGGCAAGCAAGGTGTTTCTTGGCATGGCTTTCCATTGCACTGGCTCATAATAAGCTTTGGAGATTCCATAATTTCGAACGGCCCTCGGCCTTGTAGAGTTCGGCCAATCATTTCTGGCCGCGCGGAGCACCGAATATACATGGAAATCCTGGAACGCATCATCATGACAAAACCGCACGTCTAGCGAGCCAGCCGTGTGACAACGAGGACAACGACGACGACGTGGACGATCACACAAGCAGAACGGCCGCAGCCGGGCGGCGGGAAATCGTTCAGGGAGCTCGGAACGGGCACGAGGCGTGGCACAGACGGTCTAATGCCACCTCGGAGTGGGCACACACGTATGTATGTATGTATGCATGCATGCATGCATGCATGCATGCATGCATGTATGTATGTGTGTATGTATGTATGCATGCATGCATGTATGTATGTATGCATGTATGTATGGTTTGTTAGGTGTATGGAAATATGTATGTATGCATGTCGTATGCATGCATGCATGTATGTTTGTGTATGCGTGTGCCGATGTATGCATGCATGCATGCCTGCATGTATGTATACATGCATGCATGCATGGCAGGCACGCAGGCGGGTGGCTGTCCCAAATCGATCGGCGAAATGCCCAAGCGCCACCCAAAACGGTCCAGGCTGTCACCCCAAAGAGGCGTTCGAATGCTTAGAAGAAACATCGAGGGGAGGGGGGAAGGAGGAGGAGGAGGAGGAGGAGGAGGAGGAGGAGGAGAAGGAGAAGGAGGAGAAGGAGGAGGAGGGGAGGAGGAGGAGGAGGAGGAGGAAGAGAGGAGCAGGAGGAGGAGGAAAAGGAGGAGGAAGAAGAGGAGGAGGGGGAAAGAGAAACCCCGCGGGAAAAACGCGGGGGGGGGGGGCCGAAGTCAAGGCCGCCTAAAGTCAAATTCGGTCTATGATTGGAAAAACATGGGGGGCACGTGATAAAAACAGTTGTCTTTCTGCTCGGGCTCATCGCGGGGGGGGGGCGTTGAAACACGCGGCGGCGGCGCCGGTGATTAGCGCCGGCGCCCAGCCGATTGCAGGATGGCAAGGCAACTGTCGCGGCGCAGCGCCTCTGATATAGCGGGGCGAACGGCTACAGGCAGGAGGGGGAGGAGGAGGCGGGGAAACAGGCGCCTCTGCTGGCGGGCGGTGCCGACACGGCTACAAACAAGAAAGGGAAGAGAGGGGGAGGACCGGAAGAGATATGCGGAAAGGACTTTTCCTTTTCCTTTTCCTTCTCTCCTTCCCCCCCCGCTACAACGTCCTACGACGACGACCACGACGACGACGACGGCGGCGACGGCGGCGACGACGGCGACGGCGGACGACGACGCACTGCGGATGCTCCATGGGGGAGGGTGGCGGGGGTGCTGCGCATGCCCGTTGTAGTCGTCGACGACGACGACGACAGCGACGACAACAAACGACGACGCCCTGCGGATGCCCTAGCTGCAGTCGGCGACAGCGACGACGACGTCGACGACGACAACGATGAAGACGTGGATGACGACAAGGACGAGGACGACGACAACGGCGGCGGCGACAAGGGACGACGACGCACTGCGGAATCCATAGCTGCATGCAGCCGACGGCATCGACGACGACGGTGACGACGACGACGGCGACGGCGACGTCGGCGAATGCGGCGACGACGACGACGACGGCGACGACGCACTGCGGATGCCCTATAAAGAGGGGGGGTGCTGCGTAGGCCCGCTGTAGTCGACGACGGCGGGCGACGACGACGACAACTACGACAACAAAGACGACGACGGACGACGGACGACGACGACGGACGATTAAGACGACGACGACGACGACAACGATGACGACGACGACGACGAAGACAACGTCAACAACGCGACGACGACGGCGGCGACGGCGACGCCCTGCGGATGCCCCATGGGGTGGGGGAGGTGTTTCGTAGGCCCGGCCTGCTGTAGTCTGCGACGAGGACGACGGCGACGGCGACGACAACGACTGTGGCACGTCTGATCAGCCTGAGAGGAGAGTGAACTTCGCCTCGGAAGTATAAGATCCCTGCATCAACTTCTATACAAAGGGCGATCGTTATGATGCTGCCGTGCAGGGGGGTACACGATCCCCTCGACGGCGCCCGCGACGACCCCTTGGCGCGCGCGATTGAGAAATTCGCGCCCCGCGGGATCTATTCATCAGCCCCGGGGGGGGCCTCATTCATTAATTTCTAACTAACATTCGAGCCTGGGCCCTGGACCCCCTATCCTTGCCATCGCTTTGACGTCCATCCCCATTGATGTTCGCCAGATGTTTTTTTTTCACGGCCTTCGCAAAGAAAACTGCATACGCCCAAGCGATGTCAAGCATGTCCACGCCTCGACCGCACTTTCCTCCGACGTTGCAGCTTTCTCCACGACCGACTACCTGGGGCCAGCTTCCCAGTCCGAGCCGTTCCCCAGGTGCCCAAGGGCTCCAAAGATTCCGTGGAACCGCCAACATCGGACGACCTCGGACCCGACGACTTCGAGCCTCCGGAAGCCTGCGCCTGCGTTGTTCTGCTCGGCCATCCGGTGTCCGTTCCATGGGGGCCTGCGTGGTTCCTGGCGCTGCCCGAGTTGGTCCTGACTTGGACTGGACTTGAACACGCATTGGAGGCTGGATTTGGACCGGGGTCGAACCCCAGATCCGCCCCGATATATAGTGGGGAAGAGAAAAACGCGGAGGAGCAGGCGAATCAGGAAAGGCGAATGTTGTGTTGTCCCCATCGTACTTGAGGACCGCATCCCAGGAATATTTCCGAGCACCAGCGAAAGTGTCCAGACAGTGTTTGGCCGGCACGCCAGCGAACTCTCGAGTGCGCATCGCTTCCCAGGGCCCGACACATGGAAACCCTTTGGTTCGGGTACCTGCCTGGTGTTCAAGATTTTTCCGGTGCTCAGGGCAGTAGGCCACTCACTCATTCACTCGCTCACTCACAGGCCATACGCCGTCCGGCGCGTGGGCAAGAGCAGTCTCAAGCAGCGACGCGAAATTGAGGGTGTAACGCTGCGCCCACTAAGTGGGTCAGGAGGAGGAGGAGGAAGAGGAGGAGGAGGAGGAGGAGGAGGTGGAGCAGGTGGAGGAGGAGGAGGAGGATGAGGAGGAGGAGGAGGGAGGAGGAGGAGGAGGAGGAGGAGGAGGAGGGAGGACGAAGAGGAGGAGGAAGGGCAGTAGATCGAGCGACCGAGCGAGCGAAACGCCGTGCGCCACTCGGCGCGTGGGCACCCGACGCTGTGCGCTGCCGGTGCGCAGCGCGGAGCGCGGCCGTCGAGCGCAAACTTGGTTGCAGACCGACGCCGCGCTCGCTCGTCTGCCGTGCACCAGGGCAGAGCCGCCAGAGCCCAAAACTCCGGGATCAAACTGTGAAGACGCTTCGCCCAGTCACGCCTGGGACGCCCGGGCGCCCGCCTGTCAGAAGCCGTCGCAGGTGTCGCGCTCCCCGGGTAGGGACGTGAGCTTCCGCAGCACGTCGTCAGCCCTGCCGCGGCCGATCTGCCCAAGCCACAGGAGTTGATGTCTTAGCAGCTGGTCGCTGTAAGGTCTCGCGCCTGCCTTTTCTGATCTGGTTTTGCTCGAGATCCTTGAAATGCAGGAGTGCTGGGTGTTCAAAATGCTTCTAAGACGCCTCGCTTGGAATCCATCAAGACGCCTTTCTGACTTGTTCAACCACGCGGAACTCAACCAATACCTGACTTTGGTCGTGATGAGTGCCCCAAACGATTTCAACTGTCTTGAAGTGCGGATCGACGTGTGCTTCCATGCCCCTGATGTATCGTCGGAGCTCGCCCCAGGCTGCTGCAAGCCGGCGGCTGAGTTCCTGCTCGAGCCTCCCAGAACCGAAAAGATGTGCTCCCGGATACAATCAAAACGTATATTAAGGACGGGTGATAAGGACGCAAGACCCTTGGAGGCCGAAGTTGGGTTTTTTAGGGCGGCGGGCGACCAGTGATAATGGCAAGGACGAGCCTCAGAGGCAAGGACACAAGGGCACCCTAGATGAAGGCGCGCGTCCTTACTATGCGCGTTGACTGTACTGAATCATCAGAGCATCCTAGTCCCAGTGAAGGGGAAACTGACTTCAGCTTCGCCGCCCAGGGCTCCGACGAACAGACCTCGAACGGCCGGGACCCCGCGTTGGAGGGTTGCTCCGAAGGGCTTAGGCTTAGGCGACCCCTCCTCCTCCTCCTCCCCCCTTCCTCCTCCTCCTCCTCCTCCTCCTCCTCCTCCTCCTCCTCCTCCTCCTCCATCTCCTCCTCCATCTCCTCCTCTTTCCTCCCTCCGGCCTCTCCTCCTCCTCCTCCTCCTCCTCCTCCTCCTCCTCGTCCTCCTCCTCCTCCTCCTCCTCCTCCATCTCCTCCTCTTTCTCCTCCTCCTCTTTCTCCTCCTCCTCCTCGGGTCGCCTACGGCCCTGGGGGAAACCGTGCACCTCCCGTGCCTAAGAGCTCCCCCGGCCGGAGAGCCCAGCATCGAGTCGGCACGTCGGTTCCGCGAGATCGCAACTCATCGCACTGGCGGACATCGGCAGCCGAGCAGGGAGAAGCCACATCGGAGGAGATCGGCAGGCTGCAGGCAGGCCTCCGCCGAGAACTCGAAGCCCATGCCGAAATCTGGAGCCAAATCGGATCTAGGGAAACCAGAAAATACCGATGCCGCTACTCCCCGAACCTTTCCCAGGGTGCGTTCTGACCAGGGTCTCGAGGCGAATCCAGCGGTGGCGACGAGGTCCGCCCAGCCGCCCAGGAGGCCCAAAAAGGAGAAAACCAGGGAAGGGCAGAGGTGTGGGTACCTTGTCCTCCTCTGAGGATCGGGGTCGGAGGCCACCGAGATCGAACCGAAGCGAAGCGAGGTCAGAGGCGATGACAGGGGCGAATAGCCCAGGGGAGAGCAATACATGTATCCAGGGGCGCCGATGATTTATGTCTTCGACAAGGCTCCCGGGCGAACGCGTGTGATGCCCGCCCCTGGGCTATTCGCCCTTATCGTCGCCGCCGACGAGGGAGGCGACGCGAGCCGTGCCCAAGCCTCCCCCCCCCGCCGGACGGCCTCCATATTGCGGTCCGTCCGCCGCTCGGGGTCGTCCGAATCCGGCTGGTTGTAGTGGTTCCGCAGGATCTGCGCCCGCGGGGGCGGCGGCTTAGCGGGCCCTGCAAACGACAGGGCCGTTTTTGATACCGCTTCCGTTCTGCCGTTTTTGTTGCCGGTTCCGACGCCGCTTTGCTTACGGGTTACCTTCTCCCCTCATTGTCCTCCTTGTCCTCCTCTCGCCTCTTGCCTACCAGAGGGGCGGAGTCCACATGGCGGAGCCCCTAATGATAAAAGTTGGAGGGGGCCCATCAATGTTTGTTACTCACCGACTGGGCTGCGATCCACCCAGCCAGTGAGCCGCGGCAGGGCCCCCTCCCCAGTTCAAAAATAAGCTGCTGGGGGCGGGAGCTCCAGCTGGGGTTCAGGCTCGGGCCAGGCCTTGATATCCCTCGGGAGTCTTCCAGCTTCCAGCGCTTTGAGAATCTTCCCCCCATGCTCTGAGATCTTCTCAAGACATGGCTTGGAAAGCTTAATGAAGGTTGTGGCAGCATAACTCCCACAGTCGCGACACCAGAAGACGCCTCTGAATCTCTGGAGATGACGGTGGGATGGGTGAATTCTAGCAGGGAGCCCAGGGCACTCAGAGCGGAGCCAACTCTCCGCCGTCCCCGACGGGGACGTGAGGCATTTAGAACACTTCAAAGGCATCCCAGGGCGATCGATCAGGCAATGAGAGGTGGACGCAGTGAGTTCAGCAATCACTCCCTGCTTGGCCAGCTTACGTCTCTTGCCTTCACGTTTCCGATCCTCAACTCCTCCTTGTCCTCCTTCTCCTCCTCCTCCTCCTTCTCCTTGGCCCTCGCCCCAGAGGAGGACGAAAGAGGAAAAAACGGGGGGGGGGGAGAAAGCGAATCAGCTGCACGCAGTTACGCACCTGGTAGCATCAAAACCTGCACCATGCCACGACCACGCGCAATGCCACCTCCGCATGCGACACACTGCCAGGTCTGCGCTGGATCGAGTCGCGAAGCTGGATCGGCTCGCAAGCGAATCGAATCTCGCCGGAGTCGGCGCGAAATCGGATCCAAATTGTGTCGTTTGGGATCGTGGATCGGGCTCCGCCACTTCCGGCTGGAGACGGGATCCATTCGTGTAGGATCGGATCAGATCGATATCGGAATCGAAACTTAGAGTGAGGTCGGCCATGCCAGTTTCCTCCTACAGGCGGATTTTGGGCGACAGCAGCATAGTAAAAAAATAGTCACAAGTAATAAAACATCGCCCCCAGACTATGTTTTGACTGTTTTTGAATGTTCCTCCTGTAGAGGCACATGCCCGACTTAAACTGAAAGATCGGATCGGACCGAGTGGGACTCTTAACAGCCCTGACCGCCCCTCCGGACGCGACGCGGTGCCCCCTTCCAAACACGTCCGTTCCGACTTTGCTCGTGAAGGGGGGAATGTCTGAAGGCCCTGGAGGCCCCAAAACGCTGTGGAGCCACCCTCCCCAAACCAGGTGTTCCTCATGAGCAGATGGTGTGGGGTGGAGGGCGAGGGTACAGCGAACGCCCCCCCTACAGTCCGAGACTGGCCCCAAATTGTCACGCTTCGCGTCTCTCTTCTCCTCTCTCTTGTGTGCAGTTTAGGCGTCTGCTGGTTAGCGGTTGCCCTGGGCGACGCGCGGCCTTTCCGTTTGCGCTCGCGATCGAAAATCCCCACCAGCCCATTCAGAATCCCAGCCCATGAGAGCTGACGGGAAAAGGGACGAAGAGACACATCTAGGGACACAAAGCAACAAAGCGAGCAACCAGGGTGAGAGACGAGGAGGAGGAGGAGGAGGAGGAGGAGGAGGAGGAGGAGGAGGAGGGAGGAGGAGGAGGGAGGAGGAGGGAGGAGGAGGAGGAGGAGGGAGGAGGAGGAGGAGGGGGAGGAGGAGGAGGAGGAGGAGGAGGAGGAGGAGGAGGAGGAGGAGGAGGAGGGAGGAGGAGGGAGGGGGGGAGAGGATGACGAAGAAACGCTGCCCATTAGAGCAGGCAGGAAACGGGAGGAAGAAACGCATATAGTGAAACGCAGCTGGCGACCAGAGGGTAAACTGAGAGACCTCTGGGAATCAGGCGGTGGCACTGGAGGGCCCCTTCGAGCATCTCTGGAACCCCTGTGGAGGCGACGGGAGGAAGATGACGATGAGGAGGGGGAGGGGGAGGAGGATGAGGAGGCATAGCTGCTTGGGGGGGGGATAATTTGGGGCATCTTGGGGCTCCCTACAGGCTCTTTGAAGGGTCGTGTGGTCCTCTTGGGGCTCGGTTGGGGCGTTTTGGGGACCCTTGGGGCGCTTCTTGGACCCTTTTGGGGCTCTCTTGGGGCCCTCTTGGGAGGCCTGGAGAGCCTCTTGGGTCCAGCTTGGAGGCCATCGATCAAAATATGAGGGTTCCTTTGTGTTCCCCCCCCCCCACTGGGGCCGTCAAGCCCGTCTCTTGAGGCGTTCCTGGGGCCCTCTTCGGCCCATCTTGGGGGCCTCTTGGGCCCCTCGTGGAGCCTTCTTGAGCAATCGCGGGGCCAACTTGAGGCCTCGGAAGCGCGTCGGAAGCGAAACCGCGAGAAGGCAAACATTCTTGCGTTCCCTCTGTTTGTTGAAAGATGTTGGGCGTTTGGGGGTCCTGAGGGGTCTCCGAGAGCACTCGGGCCCTTCTTGTGGCCCTCTTGGGGCCTCTTGGAGGTATTTGGTCGGCTATCCTGAGCCATGATGCCCTATGTTGAGCCATCTTGGAAACCATCTTGGTGCATCGAAGGCCCTCTCGGAGCCATCTTCAGAGAAAAAGGGCCCTCTGCCACCTCGCGGGGCGCCCCGCCCAGGTCCAGGGGACGGGCTATGGGTAAATCCCTCCCCGAAGGGGAAGAGGGTCTTTGGAAGAGGAACAAAAAGATCCCCTTAGACCACATGTCGCCCAGAGGGCTGGTGGGATTGGTGCTGATGGTTGCTGCTGTTGCTGGTGGTGGGGCTGATGCCGCCTGTGGTGCGGCTGTTGCTGGTGCTGGTGCTGCTGCTGCTGCTGGTGCCACTGTTCCCTCGGGGTCATTTGGGATCGCCTTGAGGCTTGATTGGGAGGTTTTGTGGTCCTCTTGGGGCTCTGTTGACGGATCTTGCGTCTCAAAGCCCTCTTGGGGGCTCTTGGGGGCCCTAATTAGAGAGCCTGTTGGGGCCGTTCTGGAGGGCATGGATCGAAAGATGGGAGGTCCTCGATGTCGCCCCCCTCGGGGATCTTCAAGCCTCGCCTCTTGGAGCCCCCTGGAAGGTCCTCTCGGCGGTTTGGGAGTCATATTGGGTCTCTGTTGGGGGGTATTGGGGCCCTCTTGGGACCCTCTGGGCGCTCTCTTGGGGCTCTCCTGGGAGCTTCGGAGAGCCTCGTGTGGCCGTCGTGCAGGCCATCGATCAACAGGGGGGCGTTCCTTATCTAGGTCCCCCCCTAAGAACCCTCCAAACCACCTTGGGGCGCCCTTGGGGCCCCCTGCGGGCGATCATGGGTGGTCGTTTCGGAGGCCTCTTGGGCCCCACTTGGAGCTCTACTACTGGGCCATCTTGGGACCATCTTGAGGCCTCAAAAGCGCATCGGAAGCGAAAAGGCGAGAAAGCCAACACCACTTATTTTCCGTAGGTGTTTGAAGGGGTTTGGCTTCCTGGGGGCAGGTCCAAAGGCCCCCAAAAAAGTTGGTCCCTCTTGAATGATATTATCCCCGCCCCCCCGCCAAACCGCCCCCCGCCCCCCCCGCCGCCGCCGCCGCAGCCGCTGCCGCCGCCACCGCCGCACCGCCGCCGCCGCCGCCGCCGCCGCCGCCGCCGCCCCCGCCGCCGCCCTCGCCGCCGCCGCAGCCGCCGTCACCGCCGCCGCAGCCGCCGCCACCGCCGCCGCAGCCGCCGCTGCCGCCAAGTGTACTTACTCTGTATTGTTTTTTGACAGGGATGGTGAAGGGGGGGGCGCATCGGATTGGCTGCGCATGTTCAGAATTTGGAGGCAGAGTGTGTTTTGTATTGTTGGTTACAAGGGATGGTGGGGGGGGTGTCGTCATGGACCCTGGTTGGCCCCCAGTCGCCTGGGGGAGGGGGTGTTTATTAGCAGGGAGCAGTGATAAACCCCTCCCCGAAGGGGGGGGGGTTGGAAGAGGGAAGAAAGACATCGTTAGACCACCTGCGCCCAAAGGGCTGGTGGGACTCAGGTGAGGGTGGTAGGCTGCGTGCAGACGGCAGCAGACAGGAAGACAAATATCGAGCATGCAGCCTCGACTGATCCCTCTGCTACTGCAGCATCTGGTCTGGAGACAACTGGGTAGAAGACCTGCTAGAGATTGTGACTTGGGTTGCGCACCGACAGCCCAGCCACCAGGTAGTCTTAGGTCGGGCGTGTCCCCCTACAGGCGGACTTTGAATGAAAAATGAAAAACAATCTAAAAATGCCCCAGAATAATCAACAATGATCCAACACTCGTCCCCTGACTGTGTTTGACTATTTTTGAACATTCCTCCTATCGAGGGACGCGCCCGACTCAAATGTAGGCCTGGCTGGCCGCGGCGGCCCCCAGAGCAGTCCAGGGCCGGAAAGGCGAGACCGCCGCGGACCGCTCTCGGAGGGCCTGCTGAGGCCAGCCAGGACTACCTCTGAGTCGCGGCGGCGAGCGAGGGGGGGAACTGAGAAGGAGGAGGCCTTCTCAAAGGCGGCGGGACTTCCCAGAAGCCCTCGCGCCTTCTGAGAAGTTTTTATGTCTTCGGGGGAGGCTCAGAAAACTTCTCAGAAGGCTCGGGGACTTCCGAGTCTTCTGAGAAGGCCCGCCCCTTCTCGCTTCCCCCCCTCGCTCGCCGCCGAGAGTCGAGCGCGTCCCTCGACAGGAGGAATGTTCAAAAATAGTCAAAAATAGTCAGGGGACGAGTGTTGGATCATTCCTGATTATTTGAGAGCATGTTTAGATTGTTTTCTATGTTTCGTTTGAAATCCGCCTGTAGAGGGACACGCTGGGCTGTCGGTGCGCAACCCGATGCCTTCCCTTATGCTAGGCAAGCGCGCTACACTACTCGCGAAGTCACTACTCGCAAATGACCTGGATCCGCCGCGAGGGATCTACGATAACTTTCGTCGTAGCAGACATGTGTGTTTTTTGTTCTGACGTTTGCAAGTAGGCACTTTGCGAGTAGTGGAACGCGCTCGGCGATAAAGACCAGATCCCATAAATGATTTCGAGCACCCAGAAAAAATCGAAACAATATCGAACGAGCATCGCCCCGCAGGGCCCGACGCGTGAAAACCCTACAGTTTCGGTACTTTCCTGGTGCTCGATGCTCTTCCTGGTGATCAAGGCGAACGCAGGCTGCAACATCGTAAGCCTTACCAGCAAGAGCTCCCCTGAGATCCGCCGTGCAGGACAACAGCTGCACCACTGTGGACCACAAGCCCGGTCTTGCCGCGGCATCTCTCGGGCCCGATCGACCTGTGGTGGCCCCGGAGCCCGCGCCTGGGGGCAGACGCCCGGCGCGAGCAGAAATGC